AAATAAAACTAAACGATTTTCTACAAAACTACTTTACTACATTATTTCAAAACATAAGCTAACAGTAAGTAAACGACACGGTTATCGCTTCCGCAAATATTTCTTATACATAAATGCAACATGATGAAAAAAACGGCGTAAAAAAGACACATTGTTGTCAAATTAACAAATTTATTAAGTATTTTGACGATTATTTTTTTATATTTTCACTTTGGTGTGTAAAAAAGAGGACTTTTACAATACGTGATAGAAAAGAGGACAGTAACCTATATGGCAACCCTATATACATATAGGTCATGACTGGTAGTACACACTGTATACACCCTGTACAAGTATTATTAAAGTAATTAAATTTTCAGCAAAGTTATCTGAAAATTTGTTATATTTATTGCATTCTTTGTAATTGCCGCAATTATTATGATATAATTGTACGCCTAAGCATTTCTTTCAAAGAGCACGTCTGTTCCGAATTAGAACAATGCCAGATGTCGGAGATATATTATATTATAAAAGAACAAGTTTATTTCAAACACAGTTGATGTATAGTGCAAGGCTGTTACATTAAACGTGACGTTTGAAAGAAATGGAAAAGATTGTGTGGAATTTTTATATTAAAATATAATATTTTTATTAATTACATACTAGGAATGCCAATAGTAAATGTTCTTTTTCTTGCCGTTTTGGCTATAATTAAAGATTAAATGTTGCTATTATAGAGACTATTGTTAAGTTATGTAACTATAATTATTACGTGAATGTAGTTTGCACTCTGCAAAGATAAGATCTTGTTTGATTTGATTTATTTAGGTGTAAAAAGATATATGTTGTAATCAGGCCCTTATTGTATGAATTGTATATACGGCGTCTAAAGCCCCATTTTGCAAAAAATATCTTTTAGATTTCTGTGTCAGACAATCAATTGTGGGACGAGTATAGGTACGTAGAAATTTTTTTTTACATCAGTCTTTTCTTGGCTTGTATGTACAGGGTGGGTCAAATTCGACGCTTTTAAATGGAAACACCCTTTTCTATAGGAGATAGACGAAAACTAATATCGGTGTCTGGACCTCAATTTGCATCAAAAACGTGATGGTGAAAACCGCACATCAATATCTGTTACCGTTTCGGAGTTATGGGGTGTTTTTCAAAAATGTGCATTTTTAACAAATCGCTGTAACTTTTTTGCTATGGAAAATTTTGTATTTCTATAAAAACATTTCCAAAGCACCTTTTTACGTACAATTTAATGGTTTAAGTATATTTTTTTTAAAATTAATAATTTAAGAGGTATCAACAGAAAAATTGATTTTTTATTTGGGACACTCTCTATATTTTTATTTAACTGAAAAGAATTTAAAATTACCTTTCCAAAAATATAGCACACTTGATATTTTGTTATAATCCCCTTCGAAATACAGAATTTTTAAAAGTTCGCCACTTTTAACTAGTAGGCTTTGGACCCCTTATTGATATGCCTTTAATGGAACTCGAAAACATATTTTTCCAGCAAGACGACGCACCGCCTCTGAACGCTAAAGTTATCAGCAAATTTTTGCAGCCAATTTCAAGAATAATTGAATAGCTAACCAAGATCCCAGCCATCGAGGCCGTCTGACTTAGTGTCCATGGATCTAATCCTATGGATATATTTGCGGAAGAATAAAGGTTCCTTATTCTAAAACGGACATCATAAGGATACTGCAGGTCGCACAACGCTCATTGGAACGAAATATGCTGGGAATAAACAAGAGTTCGTAAAAGAATAGAGTGGATATGGCAAAAGTGCCAGACAAGAGATGTCATCCACAGTGTCAAATCCCTCAAATGGCAATGTGCAGAACACCTGGCACGAAGAACGGACAACATATGGACCACAAAAATTACAGCATGATACTCACGAGGAATTAAAAGACCTAGAAGAAGACCGCATCTGAGATGGGACCATGATGTTAGGAAATTAGCAGGCACAATTTGGGCCCACATAATCAAAAATCGACAACAATGGGCTTAACTACAAAGAAAGTATTTGAGGGAGGCTACACCATAATTGGAAATGGTTGAATAAGCTGAAAATGATGATGATAGCATTAGAAAAAAAAATAATAACGTTAAACAATTAATGCGATAAAATATTAAAATGCATTCAACTCTTTAAACCATATCACATAATCGAAGCTATTTAAAAAAGGTATGTAATTTTTTATGAAACATATTTACTATTATATATCGTTAACTTCATTAATAACAGGAAATTATTATTGTAAAATTACGTCAATTGTTTATTAATGAAATGATATATTGATATTCTGGAGTAACTTTCACAGTTTGTTATAATAAAACTTGAAAAATACAGATAATGAGATTAGCAATTTTTAGGTAAAAGTATACTTTTAAAAAATAGTAATAACTAATATTGTGTATAAAGTTAGCCAGGTCAGTTAGTACAATATGATCGAAAAAAAAAACGATGACTATATATCGCTGTCATTTTATGTGTAAAATTATATGGGAAATGTCATCAATGGCCATTTCCAAGCCAACTGGACGTGGTTTTTTTTATCATACGGTATATTATAACGTAATATAATTCTCGTATTCTTATTTTCATATTATGAAAATAAGAATATGCAAATTAAGACATTACCATCAACACCTACTTGGTCAAGTTTAATTGTACGTTAACTTGAACATGGATTTTCTTCACGGGTGGATAAATTCGTAATTATACAAGGTGTTTCTAATTGATATAGAAAGACAAACACACAAAAGATTGGTTAGTCATCGTGTATGGGATTAAAACACTGAAATAATGCTATAACCCTTCTATAACTGACAACTGACAATCTATACCTACTAATATATAAAATCCTTAAGTGACTCACTGATTAATCACGATCCTGCTCAAACCACTCAACGTAAGAAGCTCAATTTTGGCATACAGGTTGATTCTATGGTATCGATAAGAAGGGATTTTTCGAAACTCGAATTCTAAGGGGATGAAAGATGAAACCACCCCTCAAATATTAGAATATTTTTTATTTAAAAACTGGTGAGTTTTTCGGAAAAAACTTTTAAACACGTATATTTTATTTTGTTGTTTTACATATTTTAAGGTTTTTTAAAAATTTATACAGGGTGTTAAAATATGACCATTGAGTAGTCACCATTCTGCTTAAACTGCTTGACGTTTAAAGCTGATTTTTGGCAAACGAATTGACCGTGGGGTGTAGAGGTTCGATAAGGAGGGGTTTCTCGAATCTCAAATTCCAAGAGGGTGAAAACGCCCCTCAAATATTACAATATTTGTTATTTATAAAACGGTTAGTCTTTCGGGAAAACGCTTGGACACGCAAAATTTATTTTGTTTTTTTACATATTTTGAAATTTTTTAAAAAATCATACAGGGTGTTCAAAAAAGTTGGGTAATTGATTAACCACGATTCTGCTTAAACTGCTTGATGTAAAAAGCTTATGTTTGGCAAATGGATTTTTCGAAAGTCAAATTCCAACGAGATGAAACTACCCCTCAAATATTATCAAGTTATATAATAATATCGCCATATTGTTTTTTTTTCATGCTGACATAAATGTGAGAAAGTTTTATCCAGTTTGTATGTTAATCAGGGATCGGAGTGTTTGGGCCGAGAGCTAATTACTCCGAACCAATGGGCACTTACCCTAGTATCCTACAGGCAGAAATCTACGCTATCGAGAGATGCGTACAACTTATGTTAGATAGGAACTATCGGAAACAAGAAATAGCCATCTTATCTGATAGTCAAGCAGCGTTAAAGGCGATCAACTCAGTATCAATCAATTCGAAATTGGTCAAAAAATGCATAGAGAAGCTGAATAAATTAGGCAAAGAAAACAAAGTCCTCCTACACTGGGTGCCTGCTCACCAGGGGATAGAAGGCAATGAAAAAGCAAATAATCTAGCTAGGAAAGGAGCGAACACTCCACTAACTGGACCAGAACCGTTCTGCTTTCCAAGTGGTAACCAACTCAAGGCGGAACTCAAGAACTTGGAAGATTCCATCCGCAACCTGGAATGGAAATCTTGCAATGGTCTAAGACACTCGAAGAAGTTTCTGAGGGCTTATGATCAAGAAAAATCACAGATCTTCTGGGTCGAGTAAGAACAATCTTCGGATTGTCACGGGGTTTTTAACAGGACACTGTCTCATCAATGAACACCTCAGTAGATTGAAACTAAGAAGAAACGGCGAATGCAGATTCTGTGGGGAAGATGGTGAAACACCAGTACACCTCATCACTGAGTGCGCCGAGACGACAACCATTCGTGCCATGAATTTTGGTACGACTGATATTGGAGATGGAGAACTACCCTCTATAAAACCGTCCCAGATACTGGCTTTTGTCAAAGCCCTGGGACTGTATGATGAGTTATGATTCAAGAAAGGGGGACACAATGGATCTGTAAGGTCGAAGTGATTAACCCCCCTCCCACTCATTCTAAATTCTAAAAAAAATCTAATTGTATGTTAATGGAAATTCTTGCTTTGCTTTATCATCACCATTACAAATGATTAATTCGACGCGAACGAAGTCGCGGGTACACGCTAGTGCTCTTATAATTTTAAATTTTAATCTGTTTATATAACTATATTGGGTGTTTTTCAAAAGTCGCTTTTGACTCCCGGTATACCATATTAATGAATTTTGAAAAACTAATGTACTAAGCATCAAAAAGAAGGTTTTTTTTTCTTTAATAAAGTAATTTAAAAGTGAATCTTTATCTATTATGAAGATATATTATGATATAACGCCTATCGACATTAGCAACATTATGTTTAGTATTCGTATTAAGTAGCAGAACCAGTGTCAAAAACCGGAATTCCACTTTTCGATTGTACTTTTTCGGGCGATATTCTTCGTGATCGAGTTAAGAAATATCCGATATATGTCATAAGAATTAACATTTTCCCACTTCTTTTAATAGCCAAACATTTTGTATCTATATATAACAAAGCACGACTTTTTTGGTTACCAAACATATTCACACTTTTGAGATAAGTATCTGTTAAAAACTCATTAAAAATAACAAAAATGAAATTCTTGGTAAGTATTCTGTGTTTTGTGTTAATTTTAAAAATACTTAATTATTAAGTGGGTTATTAACGTTTTTGAGAGAATTTCTTATTAATAATTATACAGCTACTTTGACCAATATACAAAGAAATAGTCATTTTTTATACAAGACGATAATGCAATTTTATTGTCGATTATAAAACAATATTTTTTTCCATAGCAAGTTACGTTTTAAAAAATATTCAGGAATTGTTATTTCAAGGAATTTATTACGAGTAAAAAAAATATTGTGCTGGGTTGGCGTTGGTTTCTATGTAATTTGACAAATAAATAAAGCTGTCTCTTTAGTTGTCAGTTTTGAGTCAATATTTTTTAATTCTCTTTCGTGTCGATTGCTGATTGAATTGGAGCCAGAAATGGCTCAAAACGCAATAAGTAAATTACCAACAGATATTCAGGCTGAGGCGACGAACGCCATATCCAAACTACTTCCATTTAAATCCCGAATAACTTATGAAAAGGAATACAAAAGTTTTCAAAAATGGAAGCAATTAAAAAACGTGCGAGAAGAAATAAAGTCTTTAACCTATGCAAAAAAAATAAATTCAGTTTTTTGGGATCAATTTTATTATGTTATCATTAAATCTAAATAAATAAGTATAGAAAATAACCATTACTTCATAAAACAATAAGAAATTTGTTAATATGATTTTTTTTAGATTGTTTTAGTAGCCATCTTGGCTCTTGCTTTGGCCAAAGACGAAACTACCCAGCCATCAGAAAAGAAATCAAAACGCGGTCTCATTGACCTGGGTTATGGCATTCCAGTGTCTGCGCCATCCTCCCTACAATTTGCTCCATCAGCACCATTATTTAGGGCAGCACCTATTAGCTACCCATCACAAGCTATCAGTTACGCAGCCCCTGCCTTGAGTTACGCTGCACCGGCTCTGAGTTACGCTTCTCCGGCAGTTGGTTACGCTGCTCCAGTTCCTGTGAGTTACGCTCAGCCTGTTCCTGCTCTGAACTACGCTCCAACCTCTGCTTTAAGTTACGCCATTGCTCCTGAACATAGTTACGCACATGCACCCGCTGTGAGTTACGCTGCTCCAGCCCTGAGTTACGCACCAGTTCCTGTAAACTACGCTCATTCTCCAGTTTTGAGCTACGCTTCTGCTCCTGCTGTAGCGTATTCTCCTGCACCAGCTCATGTTGGTTATGCTGGTGCACCAGCTTTGAGTTACTCTGCTCCATTAAGTGTACCGATTTCTCAAGCTGTTCCAGTACATAGTAGGAGTTATGCATCATCTGTCTTAAGTTCTGGTTCTCCAGTAATAGCTAGAACTGTTGCTTCTTCTAGTTCTGTATCTTTGGGATACGGAAGCTCAAAAGCGTGGTAGTAGTGTGTAATAATATTATTGTAATTTTGTTGATATTTTTTGATAATAAATGTTGTTATTTTATAAATATTGTCAAGACTTAAATATAGGCCAACTTGGGTTTACATCAAATTGGGAAAAATCATGTAAAATATAATTCTAGTAAACCAATTTGATGTAGATTCAAGGGAATCGTTCGCGTATACGTTGACCTGAATATGTTCTTATAATAAACATTGTTAATTAAACAATTAAAATCAGGTCGATGTAAGCGTGATGTTTCAGGGCTAGCTCGTACTAAATATCGGTGCTGGAAATATACAAAGGAGATTTTTGAGCACGTACCCGCCGATAATTGGGACGAGCGGAAAAATATAAAATAGTGTGCTGACGACAGGAGGAGGGAGTTAGTTAGTCCATCGATGTGAGTCGTATTATACAGTTAGTAATTCGCGTCATCAGTCCGTTAGCAGAAGACAGCGCAGACTGAAGATGTTCCTGTAAGTACTTAGTTAACTAAACCATTAAGTCTTGGCATTCCCCAAAATTGTATTAACTGTGAACTTTATGTTAAATAAATGTATATTTTATTCAATGGTTGTTTTGATTGACAGAGAGAACCTGGTATAGCGACCCTAGCAAACAACCCCCAGCTAGGTCGCGACAATATATAGTTTAACTAACGTGTACCCGCGACTTTGTTTGCGTCGAATTAATCATTTGTAATGGTGATGATAAAGCAAAGCAAGAATTTCCATTAACATACAAACTGAATAAAATTTTCTCACATTTATGTCAGCATTAGAAAAAACAATATGGCTATATAATTATATAACTTGGTAATATTTGATAGGTAGTTTCATCTCGTTGGAATTTGACTTTCGAAAAATCCGTTTGCCAAAAATAAGCTTTTCAATAAAGTAAACACTTCAATAAGCGTCAAGCAGTTTAAGCAGAATCGTGGTTAATCAATTACCCAACTTTTTGGAACACCCTGTATGATTTAAAAAAAAATAAAAATATGTAAAAAAACAAAATAAATTATGAGTGTCCAAGCGTTTTGTGTCCAAACCGAAAGACTAACCGTTTTTTAAATAACAAATATTGTAATATTTGAGGGGCGTTTTCATCCTCTTGGCATTTGAGATTCGAAAAACCCCTCCTTATCGAACCTCTACACCCCACAGTCAATCCGTTTGCCAAAAACCAGCTTTAAACGTCAAGCAGTTTAAGCAGAATCGTGATTACTCAATGGTCATATTTTATGAAACACCCTGTATAAATTTTTAAAAAATCTTAAAATATGTAAAACAACAAAATAAAATATACGTGTTTAAGAGTTTTTCCGAAAAACTCACCGGTTTTTAAATAAAAAATATTCTAATGTTTGAGTGGTGGTTTCACCCCTTTAGAATTCGAGTTTCATAAAATCCCTTCTTATCGAACCTCTACACCCTAAAGTCAATCCGTTTTCCAAAAATCATCTTTTTACGTCAAGCGCTTTAAGCAGGGTCGTGATTAATCAATGACCAGATTTTTCGAAACACCCTGTAAACATTTTTAAAAAATTTTAAAATATGTAAAATAACAAAATAAAATATACGTGTTTAAGCGTTTTTTTTCGGAAACTTGACCGTTTTCTAAATAAAAAATATTGTTAGAGAAGTGGTTTCACCCCCTTGGAACTGGAATCTCAAAAAATCCCTTCTTATCGAACCTCTACACCCTAGAATCAACCTGTATGCCAAAATTGAGCCTCTACGTTGAGTGGTTTGAGCAGGATCGTGATTAATCAGTGAGTCACTTAAGGATTTTATATATTAGTATGATTTGGATGAAATCAATTATTTTAATGCTTTTACCTATAGATAGTATTACTAGTCGGTTATAGGAAAACACAACACAATCATGTTTGAATAAATTATGTCTATGCACATAGAAAAGAATGGGGCTTCTATAACCCTGTATATTAAAAAAGGTTAATAAATTATATAAGGAATTTATTTTATCACATTTAATTTATCCAATAATTGGCGTGAAATATTTATAATAACAAGACACTTGATTAACTTTAAAACGATAAGGAGCCTTGTATGATTAAAAATAAGCATTTAAAGAATTTCATTTAATATGTATCAAAAGAATTAATAAATTTAAAACGTAGAATGCACAGATGTTCGATGACCACCAGTAAAAGTGAATTCGGTAGAATGTAACTCGTTATGACACTTATTAAACGAATTTTGGAGCAGAGGACAGCTAAAAAAGAAAAGAAAAATGTAATGTAATTATGCAAAATTTGCATCAGTTATACAGGATAACTTTGAAGTTTATTTTTAAATGTTAAGTGTTTCCTAATTTACACATCTTGAAGAATTGAAGTTTGTCAAAAATTAACACTAATTATAGAAAAATTAAAAAAAGGATAGAACCCTTCCAGACATCACACAAATCTATTTCCAAAAAAATATTTCTTTTCAAACGTTAAACCACAAACTACACCATTTAAAAATCATTTTTACTCAGTGTGAAAATGAAGTACAATCTTCTTAAGGTCAACTAGCAGTAAGCGCCATTCAAAAATCAAGAAGAGTACGGGCCATAACGTTTGGGGCTGACCTCGCCAAAATTATCATCGATTGTCAATCCACAGCAGTCTCTGACGTCTTTTTTTTCGATCGTATGGAAAAAAAAAGATATTTTTTGTATTTTATACAGGGTGAGTCTTAAATAAGTGCAAATATTTTTAGGGCTGGTAGATCTCGAACAAACAAATATATTTTCTCTTTGCCGTTTTTCAAATAAATCCAAAATAACTGAGATATTTTACTTTGAAAATTCCCAAAAAAGAGAGTTTTAATTAAAATTTTGAAAACCACAGGATCTTTTCTAGATTTTCTTTCTTGTAAATTTAATCTACTACCTATGTTGTCATATTATCAACAAATTATATTTTTTAACCAAAAATTTAAAAAAAATTCAAATTTTTTTTCAAAAAATTCCAAATTTTCAATTTTTCTTCGCGAAAGAAACCTCATAATCGTGTTTCTGGAGTTAAACAACCGCTAAAAATATTTGCACTTATTTAAGACTCACCCTGTATAGTTGGTACCTATCGCACACGACATATTTTGTCGTATTACAACAGTCTCAATTATCTCATCATCAATGAAACCAGATTATTTTGAAAGGAACATAAATATTTTATTAGTTACTGAAAAACTTGAAGTTTGCATAAGTTCTTGGCCCATCTGTTGGCGAGCTGGTTAAAATTAGACCAAGATTTAAACTAAAAGACAAAAAAAGGATTAATTAAAAAACGAGGCATTCTAAAAATTGCAAATTATCTGGTTTTATTGAAATTTATTCAAAAATATGTGAAATAATATTTAAAGGAAGCAATAAAATACTTTAGATTTTGTAGTAAACTAGCATAGTGAAAGAATGCAAAGATTATTGTAAGAAAAAAGTATAGCCATTAATATACATATTTTTTGTAAGAAAAACTCTTTTCTCTTAAAAAACTGTTTGTGTTATAAATCAGTAGATGGTTGTATTTGTTTATTTCAAACTGTGGAAATAATAAGTTTAAGAAAATTTGGTTAGTGTTGCTCATCCTTATATGTCAAGGCTCCCCAATGTCACATCGTGTCTCACTCTAACAGTGTACTGAAGTGAAATGAAGCGATAGTGTTATTTTGCCAATGTTGTGACATATATTATGACTGATTGACTCAATATAGGGCTTGTTTCTCTCTGCAATTTTCTGTCTCACAATGTACCGTTTGTGTGAGGGAAGGCTTCATAGTTTCATAGTTGTCGATTTTCGAAAGAAATCAGTACATGTATATTATTTCGTATATTTTTCATTTTATTGATTTTATGGAAAGCACTGTTCATTAAAATGTTGTATCCTATGTTATAGGGCTTGTTTCACTCTACAATTTCCTGTCTCACAATGTACCGTTTCTGTCCGGGAAGGGTTCATAGTTTCATTGTTGTCGATTTTCGAAAGAAATCAGTACATGTATATTATTTCGTATATTTTTCATTTTATTGATTTTACGGAAAGCACTGTTCATTAAAAAGTCGTATCCTATGTTATAGGGCTTGTTTCTCTCTACAATTTCCTGTCTCACAATGTACCGTTTGTGTCCGGGAAGGGTTCATAGTTTCATAGTTGTCGATTTTCGAAAGAAATCAGTACATGTATATTATTTCGTATATTTTTCATTTTATTGATTTTACGGAAAGCACTGTTCATTAATATGTTGTATCCTATGTTATAGGGCTTGTTTCTCTCTACAATTTCTTGTCTCACAATGTACCGTTTGTGTCCGGGAAGGGTTCATAGTTTCATTGTTGTCGATTTTCGAAAGAAATCAGTACATTATTTCGTATATTTTTCATTTTATTGATTTTATGGAAAGCACTGTTCATTAAAATGTTGCATCCTATGTTATAGGGCTTGTTTCTCTCTACAATTTTCTGTCTCACAATGTACCGTTTGTGTCCGGGAAGGGTTCATAGTTTCATAGTTGTCGATTTTCGAAAGAAATCAGTACATGTATATTATTTCGTATATTTTTCATTTTATCCATTTATGGAAAGCACTGTTCATTAAAATGTTGTATCCTATGCTATTCAAAAAAGTACCAAATTTGAATTAAATTTTTGCTGGAAGGTATTGTAACTGTGGAAAAAAATCTACTTGGATTGGTTTGGATATTCTGTGTTTTAATTTGTATTATTAACTTTTTTGTAACAATTTTATTTTATACCAAATTTTATCTTATTAATTAATTTCTTTCTAGGAGGGGTAATTACACCCATTACCCCTCCCATATATGCGCCCCTGGCCTCAATGATATGGAATGATTGAGACCAATCGATTAGACATATCATTTGTTCTCTATAGGTATAGTGTCTAGTGTGTCACTGATTTTGCAGTGGACATCATATAAATAAGCTACGCGCTTGACGTGAGCTGTCAATGGAGGATGGCGGAGTTCCAAACTTAATCTATTTAAAAATAGATTTTCTATATATTCCGGATTTTTCAAAATTATAGGTCGATTGAAACCAAACTCGGCACGTGGATGGAGGTACCCGAATGTAGTCTTCAGACGGACAGGCAGACAGATTGAAGTAAGAAGAAGTTTCACTTCAACTATGCGCACGTAGTACACACACAATTTTTTTCCGTGATTTTTTTCAATATTTCAGTAAATCAGAAATTAATAATATCGGTCTAGCCGTTCTTCAGTTCTAAATGATGAAATTGACCCGATGACATTGTTTGGATTTATTTAGATGTTTCAGTTTTCATTTTTGCAGTGAATGATATAAATTTTACCTTTTTCAGTAATCGCTTACGTAATATTATGTTTTATGTCTTCTTTGGAAGAGGCCATAAAAAAGGTTTTCACACAGTGACGTAACATCGGTCAAAACACGCTTTTTCACGGCACATCAATTCCGTAACATATTCGAAATATTAAAAAGGTTACTAAAGCAGGTTTTTTTCGTATATAGAACAATCGGATCATCGATATACTCGTATACGTCCTTTCACCTGCCACTTCCATTAAACATTCTCGTATTTTTATATATTTTTTAAGAAAATATAAAAAACATTTCTTAATCTTGTTCAAAAAAATTAAAAAAAAAGAATGGGTATGGTATAAGATCAACCACCAAGAGCATTACGAAATCGCTCAAACCTAGCGATGTGCAAATTTAATCAAAAGTAAATTATTAAGTGAGTTTAAGTTACTTTTGCCAATTTAGTTAATTTTTACTATACAAAAAGATTTCTTAATTCTACTATACTATACAGGATTTGTACGAAAAACAGACGGCCAAATTTTAGAGAATGATTCAGAAATATGAAACAGAAAAAATTTCGTCGGAAATGCGCAGTTTTAAAGATATAGTCGTAGTCAAAGAATATACCTAGCTAGAAAAAGAATGGACTCTGCCATACTGAAAAATGGTCCTAGAGAAGTGGCGCCATCTATTGAGTAGGGCTGGTTTTAAATGGATCGAAGCGTATTTATTGAATTTTGCTCTAAAATAATTAAATTTGATTATTAAATCTTATTTTTTACACAAATTCAACAATACTAATAACAAGTATCGTTGTGATGTGTAAAAAATAAGATTTAACAGTATAATTTATACAATTATTAAATAAAATTAAAACCAAACATGTGTAAATCTTATTTATTATTTAAAGTTTTTATTTATAAGTCAAATAGGTATTTAAACATCGTTTATTATAATAAAACAAAACCAACGTAATACGCCCACAGTTTTGTAAATGGAGTAAATATAAACAGGTACTTAAATGATGGCAAAAATAAAAGATTTACATTATATTTTTAGGGCCACAAACAAAAGGAATTGTCTAATAAAACACATATAACAAATTATAGTTTGAAAAACGTTTTAATAATCATTTTTGATGATTGGCGCTATGACAACGACAATATTTTTTGAGAATTTGACAATAGTATGACAATGGCCGTTGGAAACTATGGAAACTACAAAAAGAATCTGATTGAACGCCATCTGGCAATAACTAGTAGCAATTTCTTAACCTAAAAATTAATTGCACTACCACCTAGCGCCCGAGGCTGGAACTATTTTATTTGAAATTGCCGTGGAAACGGTGGAACCGCTTTTGCTATTTCACTTTCCGGCCCCTGGTCATAGTCTGTCCAACGACTCAGGATATATGACCAACACTACTGTCACTGTCAGGGATCCCCCAGGTGATTTTTTGCTTAAATTTTTGGAACCGCTCTGGTTCTTTTCTGAGTTTTCTTTCTTGTAAATTTAATCCACTACATAATGTTGTCATATTATCAACAAAATATGTTTTTTAACTAAAACCAAAAAAAAATCTCCAATTTTTTTTCAAAAAATACAATTTTTTTATTTTTTTTTTCGCGAAATAAACCTCATAGACGTGTTTCTGGGGTCGAAATACAGGGTGGTCCGAATTGTATTCCGGAAGCTTCGGTAGCATATTCTGCAGATAAAAATAGGTAAAAAATTCGTATAAATGTATGTGCTAAAATGCTTAGTTTCGGAGATACAGTGTGTAGAAATTTCATTTTTATTTCGATTTTTTCCAAATAAGTAATGTCAATATTTAGATGAAAATTGGTGTTTGGGATTTTTTTGACATGAGAAATTTGATTTTGATGTCAATATGACTTCTACTGGTAGAGGGCGCCACCTACATGTGTTTTAACCTTTGAATAAGAAGACTAAGGAAGGAGCATATCAAAAATCTTAGATACACCGCGATGGGCCTCAAATATGGCCGACTTAAATTCCGGTTTATCAGTGTCGTTCTAATTTTATTTAAAAAATATAAAACTATGATGTAGGGTAGACGTGGGGTAGACTCAATAATTTGTTGTTTTATTTTACGTTGTGAATTTTTACGTTGTGGTAGTTATTAAAATTGTTATAAAAATATATAATTCTAATAAAAATAGATAAGTTATAATAAGTATTTATTAACACAAACATTCGAAACGCTACTGAAGCAGGTAAGTCAAATTAACGTATCTAAATTCTCTGACATCTAATCTTTGACAAGTAATAAATAAAAGCTAAAATGCAAGAAAAATATATAATTTAGTTAATTTAAGTGAATTTCATAAATGATTGATTTATTACACGTATGTATATTATATAGTCACTTACTAGCGAAAAGTTGTTCCATTATTTCACTCAATTTTTGCCGAGATCTACCGCACGCTACACAACCAACTATTTTAGAGTCTTTTTCGATAAATCGCGATAGTGTCACTGTTAATTTAAGTTCTGCCACAATTTCCATCTAGATTTACTACCTTTATACAACTATCAGTAGTAGAATAAATAATAAATAACATAAAATAAGCTCGGTAAAGACTGACAAATCCACAAAATTTCAAATCAAATTCAAATGTGTCAAATGAATCGTCAAACAGAACTGTCAAGGATCCCCACCCTAGAGAGCTTTTATGGTGGCTTTTCCGCCCACCATGCATGAATACATGGATAGCATTATGCTCCTTCCTTAGTCTTCTTATTCAAAGGTTTTAACTGTTTTGAAGCGTAATAACTTTTTGTCCGTACCTGTATAAAACTACCGAAGGAAAAAATATACATCTCTGTGATTTTTTACGTAAAAAATATATCTTTGTAAAAATCGCTACGAGCAACCGTTCTCAAGATATTTAGAATGGAAATAGTCAATACATGCCATTATTAACGAAAAATAAACACGTTGCGTTAGATGGTTATTTCACTGAAATAATAAATTTGGGAATTTTTTTTTAATTAATCATATTTTTTCTGCAAAAAATGATGATAAAACAGTTTTTGTTGAACTTTTGGTACAAAAACATTTCAGATTGATGATCTCAGTCTAATAACTATTTAGTCAACGTGTTTAATTTATGTCAGTGATGACAGGTATTGATAATTTCGATTTGAAATATCTCGAAAAAGTTACGTAAAAAGCGTCGTAAATGTATATTTTTTTACTCAGTTGTTTTATACAGGCACGGAGGAAAAGTTATTACTCTTCAAACCGGTTAAAAAATATGTAGGTGGCGCCCTCGACTAGTAGGAGTCATATTGACATCAAAATCAAATTTCTCATGTCAAAAAACTCCCAGATACGAATTTTAATCCAAATATTGACGTTGCTGCAGAAATTATTTGAAAAAAATCGAAATAAAAATGAAACTTCTACACCCTGTATCTCCGAAACTAAGTATTTTAGGACATACATTTATACGAACTTTTTTACTTATTTTTATCTGCAGAATATGCTGTCGAAGTTTCCGGAATACCTTACGGACTACACTGTATACTACCCTTAAAAGTATTTGCTCATCAGTCAAGACTCACCCTGTAATAAGTTACTTTATTGTTAAAGATTGCTGAAAAACAATATTTTATTCAGATATCGTAGTTTCTAGAACAACCTACTTCTAACACAAACTCAGCCAAAGATACCCTAGCTGAGGTTTTATTAAATTCAGCTATTTGATATTTGAAGAATTAAAATTAAATAATCATTAGTTATTTTAAACAATCACATTTTACGATTTCATAATCAGTTTGTATAAAATACAAAAATTCGTCACAAAACCAATATCTTCAATGGCTAATATTAATACTAACCGGTCTATAACCTTCATCACAATCACAATATCGATGCCTTTATTTCGGAAATGTGTAACAATTTTTACATAACTCTTTTGACGGATTAAATTAACAGGGCCCCACCTCTTTTGATGGTCCAATTTTTGTATATATAGACTGATAATTTTGGTTTGTATCATCACAATCCTTTTGTCAGTTTTAAAAACATCAATACATAAAAATACAATCAGTCAAAATGAAATTCTTGGTAAGTATTAATATCCAGTGTAATGAATATTTTAGAATTTAGAATTTAGAATGAGTGGGAGGGGGGTTAATCACTTCGACCTTACAGATCCATTGTGTCCCCCTTTCTTGAATCATAACTCATCATACAGTCCCAGGGCTTTGACAAAAGCCAGTATCTGGGACGGTTTTATAGAGGGTAGTTCTCCATCTCCAATATCAGTCGTACCAAAATTCATGGCACGAATGGTTGTCGTCTCGGCGCACTCAGTGATGAGGTGTACTGGTGTTTCACCATCTTCCCCACAGAATCTGGATTCGCCGTTTCTTCTTAGTTTCAATCTACTGAGGTGTTCATTGAGGAGACAGTGTCCTGTTAAAAACCCCGTGACAATCCGAAGATTGTTCTTACTCAGACCTAGGAAGATCTGTGATTTTTATTGATCATAAGCCCTCAGAAACTTCTTCGAGTGTCCTAGACCATTGCAAGATTTCCATTCCAGGTTGCGGATGGAATCTTCCAAGTTCTTGAGTTCCTCCTTGAGTTGGTTACCACTTGGAAAGCAGAACGGTTCTGGTCCAGTTAGTGGAGTGTTCGCTCCTTTTCTACCTAGATTATTTGCTTTTTCATTGCCTTTTATCCCTTGGTGAGCAGGCACCCAGTGTAGGAGGACTTTGTTTTCTTTGCCTAATTTATTCAGCTTCTCTATGTATTCTTTGACCAATTTCGAATTGATTGAGACTGAGTTGATCGCCTTTAACGCTGCTTGACTATCAGATAAGATGGCTATTTCTTGTTTCCGATAGTTCCTATCTAAGATAAGTTGTACGCATCTCTCGATAGCGTAGATTTCTGCCTGTAGGATACTAGGGTAAGTGCCCATTGGTTCGGAGTAATTAGCTCTCGGCCCAGCACTCCGATCCCTGTTCCCGTATTGGTTTGGAAGCATCAGTATACCAAGTTATGGTATGGTCTTTTAACTGCTGGGCAAGCGTTTCGCTCTTCCAATCCTTCTTATTGCTCAATACTACATTGACATGTTTGTCAAAGTTGTACGTTCTTGGCATATCGTCCACTGGGAGTTGCAGGAGTGGTATTTCCTTTTTGAGGGTGTTCCAATCCCCTGATTCTTGGTAAGTATTAATATCCAGTGTAATGAATATACAGGACGTTTTTTTTAAGTAGGGTAAAAGATATTCTTTGTAAGAACATATACATTGTATGACTACTCTCTGAGCTATAGGGTGTATTATGAGTATTTGAATATAAAGAAAAAAAAAAGCTATGCATTGAAGTATTGTTTTTTCATAAAATGATCTAAGCAATCATATCCTGAATTAATTTTAAAGTAATTCTAATATTTTTTGTTCCTGTATTTTTAGATCGTATTAACAGCTGTTCTTGCAATCACCCTAGCCGAAGAAAAAGCTCAACCAAACCAAAAATCCAAACGTGGCCTTTTGGGTCTGGGTTATGGTTACTCAGCTGCTCCAGCTTTGCCTTTAGCTGCTCCAGCATTACCCCTATCTGCCCCGGCTCTACCCTTAGCTGCGCCAGCTCCAATTTTAAGAACAGCATCCAGTTACTCAGCTCCTGCATTGGCTTATTCAGCTTACTCAGCTCCTGCTGTTAGTTATGCTGCCCCAGCTGTTAGTTATGCAGCTGCACCAACTCTGAGTTACTCAGCACCTTTAAGCTACGCGGCACCAGCTCTAAGCTATGCTGCTGCTCCTGCACCTGCTTTAAGTTATTCAGCGCCTTTAAGTTACTCAGCTCCAGCTCCTCTGAGCTTGCCCATCGCTGCACCAGCACCATTCTACGCTAACAGTTACAGTTCGTCGCTTTTGGGCGCATCTCCTGTATTAGCTAAGTCTGTGGTGTCTAGCCCGTTGGCTTTGGGTTATAGTGGTGCGAAATTGTGGTAGATTTTAAAGAAATATGAGTATTTTATTGAATTGTGATACAATAAAGATTTTGTCTTAAATGTATATTTTATTTATTTTTTACTTAAAGAAATCCTAGTTTATACATCTACGAGAGAAGCTATATATTGACTGATATGTTTAGCACGATTGATCACGTACATACACTAAAAGAAACTATCAGCCGATCAAGCCTGCATAGCCTTTATAGACTTTAAGTAGGCTCTCTACTCTACTATCCTAAGGCAATACTAGAAGCCCTAGGGAAACAAGGCCTTATAAAGAAGCTCTCGCCAATATATACAAAGAAGCCAAAACAAGGGTAATGATATATAAAACAACTCCAGAGTTTCCAACAGGCAAAGGAGTACCACAGGGAGACGCTGTATCCCCAAAGCTGTTTACAGCAACACTAGAAGAAATCTACCGTCAACTGGACTGGACCAGCAAAGGATTAAAAATAGTTGGAGAATATCTTAACCATCTAAGATTTGCTGATGACATAGTCCTAATTGCCAACAGTCATGAAGAACTACAAACACAAATTAACGAACTAAATGCAGCCAGCTAAAAAGTTAGTCTCAAAATGAATTTAGCAAAAACTAAAGTAATGTACAACGAACTAGTAGGCCTTGGGCCCAGGGGGGGGGCCTAAAAAACACATTTTTTGAATAAAACGTTTACATGAATTTCTCTATCAATAAATTTCATGACTTTTGGTTATCAAACCGTGTCCCGTAGATTACTTAAATACCAACAAATTTTCTAAAAAAAATAAAAATTGACACATTTTTTGAACACAACAAAATAATATTAACTAAACAATACTAGAAAACGTCATTTTTAGTGCATCTCAAGCAAATAAAAATTAATACGTAGCCAAGAGTCATATAATTCAGGATTTCTCTGGGGGGTGCCCAGCAGTACCTGGGGGGGCTGGCTCCCCCGGGCACCCCTGTTGTTAGGCCAATGTGATTGAATAAGCCAAAAATGATGATGATACGACATAAGTGAGTACTAGTCCATTGCACATGATATTATACTGTATAATTAACTGAATAGTAGATACTTGGTGGTATTTGTATCAAAACTACCAATCCCTGATAAGAACCAGCCCCTAGACAGCCCATCTGATGAAGGGTAGACCCAGAAACCGGTTGTGGGAGTGGAGCTTGGTTCTCCCCTTTACGACAAACAAAACAATTTTCTTTTTACTTTTAATTTTTTTTTACTTTCGATTTTTCGAAATTAGCAAAAACTACACAGCTTAAGGCAAAATAATATTATTTTTTAAAAAACCAACCAACTAGACACCAACGGCCCAGCTACGTCGAAACACCGGTTCCCATTAGAACACCGAAGTTAAGCGACGTAAGGCGATACTAGTGGATGGACGGGTAACCGGTTCGAAACTCTGTATCGTGCTGTTGTCCAAAAAAAGGCAAAAGTGTAAAATCTATTGACACACACTGCTCATTCACGCCGGTTCGAGGCCGGATGAGATCGGATATCTCGTGAGTAAGAGTCGATTTAGACACTTGCCAACTCGGTAGGCCATTGACCATGATTTGGCCGAGGATGGCGGTTCGGATTCCGCGTAAACAAATTAGGCCCCGTCCAGATTAGCCCTGACAGCAAAAAGGAGACGTTAACTGAAATCTTTTCTTTTTCTACCAACTAGAGCAAAAGTTGATAGGCTTCGAGATATATAGGCAATAGAGAAAAAAATATAAATCATTAAATAATATAAATGCCAAAATATAATAATAATAATAACATCTGGTTTGTATGTCTCTGGGTACCTTTGTTTGATACAGTAACATTATTTTTATATTATCTGTCTGAATGAAATACTGAAAGGTTACAAAATTATAATTTATTAAGGTAAAACTTAATTATTTTAAAAACATTTAATTTATGCAGCAGTATTCAATAACTAGGTACATGAATACACATACCTTTTTACATGTTTAAGCTATTAACTTTATCTAAATGTTCCATTCCATTTTTACAAAAATATATAATTAATAATTACATATATGACAGGTGGGTGTAAACTGTATAAACTTGTACTAGATTCCACTCTTAAAGGTTCACAAAAATATTTATATGTGCATTTCGGAATAATCTAGTTCTCGGTGATGATGGTATTTATTTTGTAATAAACACTGAACTGAGACAAAGTGTTTAATATACCGAATGATCTCAATTAGTAGGAGCAGTTTATTTTGCATATTTAACGAGATTTTTATAGCTCTGGTTTAAATTTAGGTTAGGAAAGTAATTATTTTAATTGAGTATTTCTCACCTAATTTATTATAAAGACCTTTAAAATATACAGGGTGTACTTAAATTAAACTATACAACTGTGAGGGAGTTATTTCATACAGTAGATTGTATGAGAAAGAAGAACTTAATCACCGGGATCTTATATATCATACTATGTTGTTATAAATTTATTGTGTCTCTCTTTCTTGAGTTATAACTCATCATACAGTCTTAGGACTTTGACAAAAGCCAGTATCTGAGACGGTTTTACAGAGGTTGGTGGACCAGAACCGTTCTGCTTCCCAAGTGGAACTCAACTTAAAGGCGGAACTCAAACTATTAGAATTATATGTTAGACTAACGTGTACCAGCGACTTCGTTCGCGTCGAATTAATCATTTGTAATGGTGATGATAAAGCAAAGCAAGAATTTCCATTAACATACAAACTGGATAAAATTTTCTCACATTTATATCAGCATGAGAAAAAACGATATGGTGATATTATTATATAACTTGGTAATATTTGACGGGTAGTTTCATTAAAGCAAAGCAAGAATTTCCATTAACATACAAACTGGATAAAATTTTCTCACATTTATATCAGCATGAGAAAAAACGATATGGTGATATTATTATATAACTTGGTAATATTTGACGGGTAGTTTCATCTCGTTGGAATTTTACTTTCGAAAAATCCGTTTGCCAAAAATAAGCTTTTTACGTCAAGTCCGTTTTTTAAATAAAAAATATTGTAATATTTGAGAGGTGGTTTCACCCTCTTGGAACTGGAATTTCAAAAAATCCCTTCTTATCGAACCTCTACACACTAGAATCAACCTGTATGCCAAAATTGAGCTTCTTACGTTGATTGGTTTAAGCAGGATCGTGATTAATCAGTATGTCAGTCACTTAAGGATTTTATATATTAGTATAGATAATCAAAAAACACAACTGTTAAATTAAAAAAGTTTATTGTATCACAAGAAAACAAAAATAGATAAATTAATAACATTAAACTAGCAAATTTATTTAAAACATCTAATGGAATAACAATAAAAAATAAATTAAGTAACAAATTTAAACTACCAAATCCTGGCACTTCCCAGAGTTGAAGATAATGGAGCGTACACTTCAGACTCTGCAATAACTGGTAAAGTCTTCAAATAGGATTCACTTACAACAGGGGAATCATTACCTCCGGTTAGTGAAGGAGATGAATAAGGAACACCATAACTTACAGAAGCAGATTGACGCAGTGGTGATGTTGCAACCTTGAAAGTTTGAGGAGCAATAGCTACAAGTGGTGCTTCATTTTCTTGAACAGGATGAGCAGAATGTGCTGGAGGAGCAATATTTGCTGCAGCACCAATGTTTAGGGGACCTTCAACCCCTACAGCTGTTGGAGCATAGCCTAACGCTTCAGAATGACGAACAGGAGCACTAAGAGCTTGAGGTGCAAGTCTGAAGAAAGTAGTAGGTCTTACTGGAGCTTCAAAATTCCAAGGAGCTTGAACACTTACAGGTGGAGGACCATAACTTAAAGCAGGAGCAGCATAGTTTACAGCATGAGAAACAATACCTGGGTTAACCAAATGTACTGTAGAAGCATCTAGATTACTAGCTGGGGCAACTAAACTAAGAGCTGATCCAGAGTAAGATATAGGAACACCATAGATGCTTGCAGGTCTGAAAAGGTGAGGTGATACAGTCAAAGGCAATGCTGGAGCATTTAAAGGTATAGATGCAGGTACAGATATAATAGCTGGAGATGGAGAATAACCATAACCAAAACCAAATAGACCACGTTTTGTTTTCTTTTTTGGTTCAGTCTTGTCTTCGGATAGAACAACAGCCAAAACAGCTGCTAGTACAATCTAAATAAAGAAAGAAATATTATTAATTCGAATAATTTAAATACTAATTGCAATAAATACTTACAAAAAGCTTCATGTTACTTTATAGTTTCCTTAATATCTATTTTGGTGAAGTCAAAATTGGTGTGTGGCTGTAAAATAAAAAACGACCAGGTTTATATACAAAGTAGTATTATCAAAGAGGTGGTATAATACGATTAGGAAGAATATTAAATAAGTTTATAGTGCCACAAATAGTGAAAAAGAAATTTTTGGGACCCATTATGTTAACTAGTCGGTCTGAATTTTAATATATTTTTTAAGAAAATTAATATTTATAAGTGTTAAATAGGAAGTTAATATTTAAAATCATAATATTATATAGAAAAATTTATTTTCACTGTGGTTTACTAATAATATCCGAATATTAAGAAATAAATATCTTAAAAGAATTAGTTTTTGAAAGACCAAGACCAAAATCCAGATTGCAAGAGCAAGACGACTTGCATGATTTTTATTTACATTTTTCATAGATAATAATGAAAAAGTTAACAGGATTTTTCTTTATTTTTTCTTTAGCAATTGTTAAAATTGCCTTATATCTAGCAAAAATAATAGTTAAATAATACTTTAACCGCAAGGTATTTCTTCTCGCACGTTTTTTAATTGCTTCCATTTTTGAAAATTTTTGTATTCCTTTTTATAAGTTATTCGGGATTTAAATGGAAGTAGTTTGGATATGGCGTTTGTCGCCTCAGCCCTAATAACTGTTGGTAATTTACTTATTTTGTTTTGAGCCATTTCTGGCTCCAATTCAATCAGCCTTCGACACGAAAGAGAATTAAAAAATATTGACTCAAAACTGACAACTAAAGAGACAGCATCGACTAATGTCACGTACTAGAGATAGATTGGACACTGATATAAAACAAATAAGTCCTTCATTTAGAGCCACCTGGTGATCCGAAAGAAACTAATGGAGAGTTTTGGCATGACAGAATTTTAGCGTTCCGTTATTTATTAACGCTAACTAAAACGGTAACGTTATTAAAGCACAAAATTATTCCTTGTGAAATATAAAAAAAATATAGACTTGTTTACTATATCTTATGTTTTATTAAATCATTAGCAGGCCCTAGACACTCAATGGTAATTTTATAGAACTACAAATTTAGTTTCTTCCGCATCGCCAGACGGCGCAAAATACATTAAAGTACAGGTTTCTAATTTATATTATGAAGATGCCATGACAGTCTCTATGTTAATTACTGTCTGTGGTCTAGTTTTTGTCTAGTTGACAAAATGTTGGTGATCCGTCAAGTTAATTTTAAATCATTATTTAAATAATTATTAATTCAGATATTCCCAGATATTCCTGATTTGTCGGAAAGTTCAGTGATTTGTGTTTATAGTTTGTGTTTTTATTAGTTTGTGCATTCTGATACTTACAGTCGATCATCATTTTTGTGTTAGATACTAAACTTTTTTATTAAAGTCATTTTGACATTTTAGAAATAATAATTTATAAACCAAATAAAAAAATAGTTTAATCATAAATAAGTAAGTACATAGTTGGTAATATATAGTATTTTTCAGTAACAGTTAATTAGTAGTCTATAATATTTTTACTATATTATAATTTAGTTGTTAAATCAAAAAAATGCGCGCTATGTGATCTATTGTTGGTGTTTAAAATGTATGTATTTATAATTTTAATTTTGTTGTAATTATGTTACACTTCTAATGATCTAATAAAACATAAAATGGCAGTAAAAAAGTCTATATTTATTATTTTATATTTTACAAGGAATAATTTTGCGCTTGAATAACGTTACCGTTTTAATTAGCGTTAATAAGTAACGGAACGCTAAAATTATGTTATACCAAAACTCTCCATTAGTTTCTTCCGGATCACCAGGTGGCTCTAAATGACGGACCCATTTGTTTTATATCAGTGTCCAATCTATCTCTAGTACGTGACATTTAGTCTATGATTACTATTGAGTGTCTAGGGCCTGAGAGACAGCTTTATTTATTTGTCAAATTACATAGAAACCAAGGCCAACCCAGCACAATATTTTTTCTACTCGTAATAAATTCCTTGAAATAATAATTTCTGAATATTTTTTAAAACGTAACTCGCTATGGAAAAAAATATTGTTTTATACACGACGATAAAATTGCATTTTTGTCTCCCGAAATTAATTATTAATCTTTTCAATACCATTTTATCGTCTTGTATAAAAAATAACTATCCTTTTTTTAAATTTTATTTGCATTAAATTACTTAAAATACTATTTAATTAATTCTGTTCTATGTAGAAAGTGCCTCTATAGTAAAAATCTATTAAAAAATGCAAGACTTATCTTGCAGCAAGACCAAGACCAAGACCAAGCGAATCTTGGGCTTGGTCTATAATCTTTAGATTGTCTAGGCTTAATAATTTGAGATTTTACATTTTTTGTGAAGCAATATTGTATTATCAAGACGGGTTTTTAATTCTAAAATGAAGTTGTTCCATTAAAAAAACGAAACATGTAATATTTTACAAAAACATTTATTATATCACATCAAACCAAATAAATACACTCTACAAAAAATTACCACCATCCAGAACTCAAAGGTGCTGGAGCTGACACTACAGTTTTAGTAATAACTGGAGCGCTATAGCTTTTGGCCAATAAGGGAGCAGAGTAACTGATAGCAGGAGCGGCATAGCTAACTGGAGCAGCTACTTTTACTGCCGAAGCGGCATAACTTAAAGCTGGGGCAGCGTAGCTTAGAGCTGGAGCGGCGTATCTTACTGCTGGGGCCGCATAACTGACTGATGGAGCGGAATAGCTCAAAGCTGGAGCTGCATATCTTACTGCGGGAGCAGCATAAGCTACTGGAGCTGCATAACTAATAGCTGGAGCGGCATATCTTACTGCCGGAGCCGCATAAGCTACTGGAGCGTGAATCTTTACTGCAGGGGCTGCGTAACTGACAGCTGGAGCAGAGTAGCTTACAGCAGGAGCGGCATAAGATACTGGGGCAGCTACTTTTACTGCTGGAGCTGCATAACTGACAGATGGAGCTGCATATCTTACAGCCGGAGCGGCATAGCTTACAGGGGCAGGTAGACTAAGTGCTGGAGCGGAGTAAGCTAGAGGAGCTGAGTAGCTGCTGGCTAGTGAGAGGGATGCTGGAGCAGAATAATGAGATGGAGAGGAGTATCCGTATCCAAGACCTAAGAGGCCACGTTTAGTTTTCTTTTCGGCTGAAGATTCTTGTTTGTTTGGTTCGGCATCTTTGGCCTTTTTGGCCTTTTCAGCATAGACTATGGCCAGGACAGCTACAAGTACAACCTGAAAAAGAAAAAAGATATATAAATCGTCCTGTATGGTGTTTTGGATTAGTATAAAAGCTAATAATTTATTATTTCAAGAACATTTTAGGCTTTTGTTTATTCTTATTGAAATTGATAGTTTGAAACTTAAATGATGTATTTAATTTAACAGTCTTTTACTTGATGAAAAAATATATATTTTTTCTATTTGAATAGAAAAAGGAATATGATATTGGCAGCTAATATCAAGCTTTGGAAATTTATTATAATAGAAAAAAATACTAACAACATAGATAATCGGTATAAATATAGGATGTTCCAATATTTTGTGGCCATAGAACTGAAGCTAGATAAAATGAGCAATTTTTAAATAAAATCGCAATCAAGATGGCTGGTGTCGCCATCTTGAAGAGTATAAATTTAAGAAAGCAATAACATTTTTCAGTAAAGTTTATTTCTCTGCCTTTAAACTCAACACAAGAATTAATTCTGAAAAGTAATGTACAGGGTGATAACCCAAGCAGCATTTGGACGTCGGGACAACGTTGTGTCACGTGACCAAACGTCGGGGCGCAACGTCGGCACAACCTCGTGCCAACCCTAGTCTGCACTAGTTTGGAGAATAATTTTTGGGTCGAAACGACGTTGGATACCGACGTTGGCTAGAAGCCTAATTTAGTACAAACTGCAACGTTGTTTAAAATCCTAATTCACAGAAATACAAAACTAATATGGCGTATAAGTCGCGTTTTATCCTAAATTGGGATAATTATAGTTAGAGACATATGTCAGATGGCAGTGAAGGAAAACAAAACAAAAGTATTTAAGTGTGGAGGATGTTTGAAGATCATAATTATTGAAACACTTTAACCGATTCTGTAACTCGTTACCCAAGGCAAAAAAGTTAAACGCAAACAACTTTATTGATAAATGTATTTTTTCTACTTTGAAAAATACTAATGGGCCTTAAAATTAAAGAAGTTTTAAAAATTTTCTTGAATTTTTTAGTAAAATGCGAATAATTTATTCGCAGTCGAAAAAATTGTTTCCGCGTGTTTTTAGGGTCAAATATTTCAAGTTAATGTATTCAAAAAGCAGGAATTGCTATTTTAGGAACGAAACATTTACTTATTTAACAACATGGCGGCTTTCACTTTAATGTTTTGGAGATTAAGATGGAGTAGTTCGAGTAGTCGCATTCTGGATTAATAAAGTCGCAGTTCGGCCTTAACAGGTAGTATACTAGTCGCAAGATTGCCTAATTTAGTCATCCTAGAGTCTAGCTTGTGTCGCCCTCTATAATCTAAATAAACGAGGGAGTGGATAAACTATCGGTAATATATGTCGATGTATATTTAAATTTAGTTTTATATGTACCTTTCTTATGTCCCGTTTTAATTAAGTTTTTTTATAAAAATAAAAGCAGCACTGAACTGTCTGACTGAACAGAACAATGAAGTGAAAATTTAAGATTTAAGGTTATGGTTCAATACAGTTGCAAAAAGGTAGTGACTCGACGTCCTACCAACGTAAGAATAAGGAAATCTAAACAACGTTGGAATTAGTAAAATAGACGACGTTTGCATAACGTTGGAATAGGTCCTGAAACTGACGTCGGAAAACTCTATATTGTCCAACGTTGTAACTACGTTGTCCGAATCACCTAAAGATCACTTAAGCAAAAAGGTTACAAGACAACGTTTATTCGACGTCGCAGAAGCTTCTACTTTGCTGTAGTACTAGTCCAACGTCGGTACAACGTTATAAAAACGTTTAAATTTATTTTAATACCCAAGGTAGGGAGCTAACTATTTTTTGTAACTAATCCAACGTTGTGTTTAGTAAACATGTGGTCGCAAGTCGTGAAAATGCTACTTGGGAATGATCTATTCTATTGTAGCTTGCAAATTTAAATATCATTAAATATCTGAAAAACCAAAGGTATTAAACATATTTAACCCTTATAATAAATGCCTTTTTTTGGACCCAAAAATCCAAAAATGTATTAAAATACCGAGTGTTCCATTAGAAAAAATATAACTTTGATATGGTTATTAGTTCTGAATCATCCTGTATATTTCAAAATAATCTTAAATTGTGCACATTGCCTCCCCACATATGAGGGGAACGAGGTGCGCCACCCTGTTTATATAGAATATTTTGCAAAAAAAGAAAGAATATAAAAAAGTCATAAAAACAACATAAAAATTATTAATTAATTTAAATTTTTTATCTCTAGATATTATATAAGATTTATATGGACTTACCAAGAATTTCATTTTGATTTGGGTTGTTTTTTTAATAGGACCAGTTTACTGATACACAAAAAGGTATGTGATGATAAACCACCAACATTTCGGACTATATATACAAATTAATAAACTAGGTGGTGGCAAAATTAAATTAATTTATTAAAAAATTACGCAAAATTAAACTATTTCAAGTCGTCATCAAGGATTTGAAGACCAGATCTGAAGAGGACCGTGATAATCGAGTTCATAGCATTGAATTTATTCCAATTTTAAGAGAATAGTGAAGAAATCACTAGATTTTAAAATTAATGTTCTTCATTAATTATAAATTAAAATATCGACAGTTTTTAAAATATTTTATGATATATGAACATAAATTTAAACATTATAGATAAATGATTTTTTTTGTCATATAAAATTGTTGCTCTTTCATCTTTATTTCATTTATTTTTTAATTTAACGTAAGTTAAGATAATAAGACAATCTTAGAGACAATACTTATAGGTACCTATTCTATCTTCCTTAGGTAAGTTTAATATTTACGTAATGTACAGCATGTCCCCGGAGTGTCTTACAAAACTTTTTCATTACTAACATTCTAAGAAAATGCAGTTTGCATAAAAAATGTTTGCTTCTACTAAAATGGTTAATCCCTTTTTTGAAATTTGATCCAATTGAAAGATTCAAATAAATAATATCCAGGTTAGCAATTTAAAGATATTATTTTTAACTTTTTTTTATTGTGAATTTGAATTTTCATTGTACGATGCATAATAAATAAATAAACTTCTACAAACTAGTTTCTAATGCTCTACATGTTCGAAAGGGTTACCACAAGTTTATAATTCGTTCAATTTTATTTATAGCTCTTTGAACATATCTTCTTCTTATACTTCCGAATGAATTTTGTACTCTTTATTGTAAATGTTGAAAAATATTGATTTCACTTTTACAAATGACGTCAAATAATACCCCCCGCCGGCGCCGCCCCTTGGCAACAGGCCCAGGAACCCCGCTGGTCATTATACTGCTCTACTATTTCCAATCCATCGTCGAGTGAAATGATTTGATTGTTTATATTGTATTATATTTATATTATTTTTTTATTGCATTTGATTTTTCCTATTCAACTATTCAATGTTTTACCCCCCTTCATTGTCAAGTTTGAAGGCTTATCAAGATTGTAACGATGAAAACATTAAATATTAAAGAAAACAGGGCCGGACTTGAAATTAGTTGAAATGAATTGTGTTCAAATGTCCGAAACAAAAAAAAGTATAAAGTGTGGCGTATCACTGCACTCAGGAGACCGAGTTCTTTCCAAAATAAAAAATGCAGGTCCGTATTTAAGAAAATTAAGTCGGCCCCTGTATCTAACAAATTATCAGCTAATTTGAAAATCTAAAAATACTATCAGATAGCCCTACTAATAAAGTGGCTATAAGAATATGCAATTAGTTTTTTAATTTTCTAAAAAGTAACGATAGGAGAAAATAAAATTGATTTTCAAAAAAATCCGTTTTTTTCCAAAAAAAACTCAGCAATCCTTGAAATATTCAAAACTTTTTTTGATGGCATCTTGGTGAACATCTCAAAGCGCAACTTTGTCCCAATTTAACCATTTTCGTATCTGTTACAGTTACCGAGATAGCAATGCTCGTACCTCGAATTTGTAGCACCCTGTATATATATGTTCTGAGCCGATGCATAACCCGGTATATAATTTATTGAAAAAAATATTTTATTTAATTTTAACATGTGACTAATATCAATATACAGCACTAAAATGTAAAGTAATATTATTGCGGAATAGGAAATTCTAAGTAAAACTTTGTATCTAACTGTAGATATTAATTACTATGGCTTTTTCTCTATATTAATTAATCTTTTATCGACACTGATAATAACTTATACTGTAAATTAGATCTGTTTTCTAACAAGTCAACTACATATAGTTATTATTTGGAACAAGCTATTAATTTCTTTTTTTTAATAATATTAAATAAATACAATATTCAGGAAAATAACCATATGTGATTTGTTTAAGTGTGTTTCGGAAAATACGTATAATTATTGATAGTATTTTATTCAGTATTTTAGATATATGTTCAGTAGGTCTGAGAATAGGTTGATATCTATTTTTTATACCCCTAAGTGATAAGGATGGTCCACCCTAATTTTTAGCCGACCATACCAACAGGTATGGTAGGCTATTATGATCGGCAATCGGCTGTTTTTTTAATTTCACTCAAAATGAGTTATTTGGGTCATAAAAGACCTAAATACAAAATATTTTCATAGTGTCTGTCTGTCTGTTCGTAGGACTAACCTAACCAAATTTGGCACAAAAATATCGTGGCACTCGAGAATAGGGCCATTCGTTTTTGGTGGGGGTGGGGGGTTGGTAAGGGGGTATGGGAGGGGGTTAAAATTTAAAAAAATCGTAACTCCGAAATTACAGTAGCTAGCGAAACGCGGTTTTCAATTTGAGATTAGGAATAATATTTGCAATAAAATTTGTGATAACATCAAAATCAGTTAAAGTCGCAGTTTTTGGGATAATTGAAGCTAAAAGAACTGCCTACCAACTTTTTATTAACATATTTTAGTATGGGCGGCTATACGTGCCTCCCGGCGCCAAATTTTTTTTATTTTTTTTGAACAAAACTTTTTATTTTTATGTTTTTTATGTATTTATGTGGCATTAAAAATACATACAACCCTAAATTTTCGCCTTTCTACCATCAACCCCTAGTTTTTAATAGCGATATTAGTAATTTAATAATTTTCAACTCCGGTCGATATCTGATCAATTATTATTAAAAAAAAATCAGAAAAGATCCAGTGTTTGTTCCAGTGTTATGGCAAATGGCAGGTGATTGTGCATTTTTTTCGAGTTGTATAATATTGAACTTTTGAAATATTGAACTCAGAGCGTGGGGTAGGTAGATAAAGATCTTGCTCCACGTTCCTGAGTGGATAAGTGTGAGATGGCCTTTCTTGAGAAGCTGATACATGCTTACGTATTAGGCGAACGGATTCAAATATAAGTAAGGAAGGAAGAGTTAATATTTTTAATTTTTTAAAATAGTCCTGGCAATGAGTTCTGCTGTTTAGTCCCAGTGAATATCGAACAGCTCTCTTCTGGAGCTTGAAAATGCGGTCAAATTGAGTCGCACAACACGTACCCCAGAATGGAAGGAGTATAATATGAAATCTTAAAAATTTAACAATTAATTGTTTACATTTTATATTTTAAAACGAATGCAGTTAGTTATTCTCAATGTAAGTGCTTAATTATGTAACTTATAATAACTACCTTACTGTCAATGAAACAACTGTAATTCATGTAAAAGTTCTGAATAAATTAATATTTTCAGAGAGATTATCGAGATGGCTGGGCGACAGATGACGATCATCAAGATCTTTCTCTCAACGTCGAGGACTTTCAGTATTTAAAATTCGATTTTATTTTGCGTAACATCCACCGGATACTTTGTTTATTTACTTCATTTGCTTGAATATCGTTATATAGGCAAATCGGCGCAGAGTAGGCCATGTTCATTCATTCATGCGATTTGGTGCTCTTCACGGTCATTGGTTACGATTAAGGCCCGAGTTGGTCATATTTTTTTATTTATTTTAATGTTTATATAACACTTATGGCCAGTTAACTAAAAATATGTCTCATTCATTTCTATGGTAGCAGTTACATTGGATAAAAATTCTTACGAAAATTTGTTCGTACGAATTTACCTTGTAAATTTTTAATTACCTACAAATTTTGAAAATAATATACTGGGTGCGCCTCAAAAGTGGTTCACCCCCTATAACTTTTTTATTTTTTCAGATAAAAAACGAGATTTGGTATGTTAGTATTTGACAAAAATTAGGACTGATTGACATATTCAATTGTTTTTAGTCACTTCCTGTTTTGGATTCTTTTTAAAGGATGTTTCCTTTTAAAAGCGTCCAATTTGGCCCATCTTGAACACCAATAATTATTAAAATCTTCTGAATATATCTGAGTGTTCTCATTTTTTGTTACTCCGTATAACTTGAAAAGAACCTTCGATAATTTTTGCAAATTTTCAAAATACACTTTGAATTCTCCGTGACCATGTATGTACCAAATAAAATAGATAAAACACCTTATAATATGCAACTCCAATATACCTACACTAAATGTTCAACCAATGACTAATCTGTTTTGTCTTTTCCACGTAACTTATTATAAAAGAATTTTTTTCATACAAAATCCGGTTGGATTATAAATTGTGCAATTCCGAATGAAAACCGTACCCAATAAGTACCCGTTTCAAGTTGAAAATATTATAATTGATTAGGAAAACTATAGTAAATACGCCATATTTTAAGGTAGTGAGTATTGAGATGTCTAGAGATACGGGTAATTTTGATTTATACCATAATAAACCAAATGGAGTAAAGTGTTTTGTAACCAACACTGTTTTTATTTATTTTTTTTCATATTCGTGTCTTGTTAAACTTGTTATATCCTAAGGACCGATTATATTTGTAGAATATAATAGTGAAAAACAAGCATTTTAATAAAACATTATATTAACATATACGGAGCGACCAACAATGATTGAAATTGTTGGCTACACCATAATTGAAAATGGTTGAATAAGCTGATAGTGATGATGATGATGAAGAAGAATAACAATGTTTTGTTTAAATCAAGCCCTATGTCAAACTTTCATTGTCTTTATTTTCTGTTATACGGTACGTTAATTTTCGGCTTACAAAACTCAGTTCTACAATACCACATTGAGTATTTACAAATTAACACCTTATTAGCAGTATTTGCTTTGTTATTTAATATTTAATAATAGTATCTAATTAATATTTAGATACTCTCTTTGTAGTTGGGCCTATTGTTGTCGATTGATGGCTATGCGGGCCCAAGTTATCCCTGCTGATTTGCTAATATCATGGTTCCATCTCAGGTTTGGTCTTCCTGCAGGTCTCTTAATTCCTCGTGGATCTATCTATCTATCTATTCAGCCTCTTCGGTCCATCGTTGAACATAGGCCTCCCCCAATCTCTTCCACTCTTCCCTCTCTGTCGCCGTGCTCATCTTGTGCCTGCATCTTTCCT